ATATATATATATAATATTATGTCACAATAGCAAGCAGAAACACTGAGATGACACCCAGAATTTGGGGGCAGATGTATTTATGACAAGGGCACTGACCAGGATCTCTCTCAATATACCAGGTCCTGATCTCAGGTGGTCTAGGGCAAGCAGGAAGTACAGAGGCAGAATGGCTTGTTAGCTGGGGACTAGTTTATGCAATGTGCATCACAGCGACCAGCTGTGCATCATAGTGACCACCAGTGTCTAAGAGACAGAAGCTACTGGAACGGGAACAGGAACCTGGGCAACTAAGAAACTGAAGCATACTGGGGGGGGGGGCTTTTCCTACTACAATATAAATTATACAACATATGACAATATATTAATTACATGCTATATATATCTTATAGCGTGTATTACATATCATTTTCCTTAAAAACAGCACTGTTTGAAAGTCATAAGGAGTACATTATCATGCGACTATGTCAGTCTGACAAGGGCTCATTTATGCAGTGGCTCAGAAAATGCAAGAATATTTTTTCTTTTTGTGTCATGCTGGGGATTAAAATTTTTTTTCTATTTAGTTGACCCACTGGCTCCTACAATGTTCTTTTCAGTTTTAACTTGTTTTTGTTATTCACATAATGTTTAAAATGCTCCGAATTAAAATGATGAACTGTCCCAGTTTCCCTGAGACAGATCTAGTTTACTATGTTTTCTGACACACTTATTCATATCATTTACTTCCACTCAAAATATCCCTGGTTTGGATAAATCCTACCCATGAAGAACCATTAGTATGTATGAGAAATGTAAGGAACAACAACATCAAAGTTTAAATTTATGGGGAGTAGTAAAATAACTTGACAAATTCTCAAGATCCAGCAGATTCACAAATTGTATTCTTCTCATCAAAATTATACAAAGAGGAAAAGAAAACTAAAGAATCACCTGGCAAGTGCGAGGGCCTGAGTTCAATCCCCCGTTCAGAAAAAAAAAAAAAAAAAGAAAGAAAGAAAGAAAGAAAGAAAGAAAGAAAGAAAGAAAAAGGAAAGAAAGAATGCTAAAGAATCAGGCCAAGATATCCAATGATCAACTAACAACAATTCCAGAAAGAAAGAAGTAAGAACATATTCTAGTCTTCAAAGAAATCAACATTTAGGGGCTGGGGAGATAGCTCAGTACACTAAGCACTTGGCTGGCAAGCACAAGGGCCTGAGTTCACTCCCTGGTTCTGCAAAAAAAAAAAGAAAGAAAGAAAGAAAGAAAGAAAGAAATCAACATTTAAAGACTCACCAAGTACATGGATGGTACAATAAATTGAAAACAATAAAAATACTCCAAGGCATATAAATATTTAGAACTGCAGGATACAATAAAAATACAATCCTAAAAAATTTCGAGGGGAAAAAAAATCATCTAGAGATCAAGAACTGGAAGCTCAGTAGAATGAGCACTTGCCTGGCAAGAACGGGGGTGGGGGGGTGGGGGGGGAGTTGTCTTTTTGTTTGTTTTGAGATAGGGTTTCATGATGTAGTTCAAGCTGGCCTTGAACTAACAATGCAGCCCAGGCTGGCCTTGAACTCACAGAAATCTTCCTGCTTTAGCCTACCAATGCTGAGATGACAGGCTTGCACCACCACGCCTAGCCATAATCATTCTCACTGTAACGTAACTTCTTTCTTGTTTTGTCTCATTTTTCTGTTTTTGTTTTGTAGTAAGGACTCAACCCGGAGCCTTCCCACTAAACTACATCCCCAGCTCTTTAAAAACATTGTTTTTAAAAAATTTTTGAGGGGCTGGGGAGATGGCTCAGTGGAATAAGCGCTTCTCTGGCAAGCGCAAGGGCCTGAGTTCAAAATTTTTGAGCTGGGCATAGTGGCACACACCTGCAATCCCAGCACTTGGGAGGCTGAGGCAGGAGGATCATTGTAAATTAGGGGCTAGCCTGGGCTACAAAGTGAGTTCAAGGCCAGTCTAAACTACACAGAGTCCCTATCTCAAAAAGACTCTCTCTCTCTCTCTCTCTCT